TTTCTGGGTGCCCACAATGTGTCAGCCACTGGGCTTGACTACTGCAGACACACAGATGGCTGCCCCCACCACTTTCCTGAGAAAAATTACATCACTTCACTAAGTTTGAAACCTCAGAGTTTTTCTAAGCTACCACACACACCCACTTCCAAAGTAAAAATGCACCCCTGAGGATTTGGTATGTGCCGGAACTTTCGTTTAGAGGCCATAACCGGTTCAGTCACTCTATGTATGATGGCCAGCCAAAGTCTCTCATCTGGTCTCTCAAGGCTTCCTTGTCCCAAAGTCTTACAAGAAAAAAAAAAAAATGAAGGAAAAGGACTTATCTCTCCTTTGAGAAAGGGAACAGACAGCTCAACGGGCATTTTGGGAGAAAATATGTAAAAATATTCAGCCTCACTCAAAACCAGAGAAATGGGAATTAAAACGACGTATTGATTTTCATCAGTCAATCTGACAAATATTAAAATATCGGTTACATACCTAATGTTGGTGAGTTGCTGTCTCAGCAGGTGGGAGCATAAATGAAGGCTGCCCAATGGGCATACCTTTCATCCACTCAGTCTGCTTCTTTTCATTTATCCTAAAGAGACAAAGGTGAACATTAGAAATTTTCTATCATAAATATACATTATCCCATCTGGCATAACTTGTGTAATCAGGGGGGAAAAAAGCAAAGTTATTTTAAAAGCAGCCAGATGAGTGACTAGGGTAGGGAAATGGTTCTCTTGGATGATTCCAGCAAAGTCCCCTGATTCCTTAGGAATACAGACAAGACTTTCTATGGAATGTTAGGAAAGCTGAATTTGAAGATGATCTTCTGTCAAGAGGACCTGAGATGGTGGCAGCCAGTTTCTGTCTGTCAAAACTGTAACCCTGATATCTGGGAGAATGTGTAAAAACCTCAGGGGTCTTTGTTCTTTGCCAATAGGCAGAAGAGCTTGCCCTTGCAGCAGTTCTGTGCCACTGTCACTCCCCAGAAGAGCCTTCTTGCTGGTCTGAGTACATCTGTGCCCTGAGACAATTGTCCCAGAGACCCGTGCCATCCCAAATCAAGTGCTTTAACTTCACCACCTTTTAGCGAACCAGACTTTTCCCGGCACTGTCCTCTCCAGACTGACCACACACCTGGGCACACACACCCCCACCCCGAAAGGGCCCCCTTTCTTTCAGAGGGAGTAACTACCAATCCCTGTAGAGCAGCAGACTCAGGGACCATTTAGCAAGTCTGGAGGCTGTGCTAGTGACAAAGGCTTGGGAATTTTTGAAAAATACAAGTCCTTCTTCAGCCCTTTTCTCAAATTCGCTCCGAAGCGCCTGCGCTAACAGACTTACCAGATTGTCAGGAGGCCTCAAAATTGTCGTGTTAAGCTTCTAGAGCTAGAGCCAAAGCTGAAGCTTGCTCTGGGAGTCCTAAGCGTGAGGCCCAGTTCTGCCACCTACTTGCTGTGTGACCCGGGGCCACTCACTTCCTCTCTGAGCCTCTGTAAAACCACTTGGAAGGGCAGTTGTGTGGGCCTTGTGGTTGTCCTTTGCGCTCCCATTTGCAAATGACTCATAATCCTTCCGTGAAAGTAGTTTTGGAGAGCAGTACAAGAGGCCAAGAGTCGAGCGCGAGGAAGAGGAAGTTGGAGGAGGAGCCTCGCAGCCTTCACGGAGCGCGCGCTTGCGGCCGCGGCCGCAGGGGAGGCGGCCAGCAGGGGGCGCTGCCCGGCGGGCTCGCACCCCCGAGGCGCCTGCCGGGAGACCGCGGCGTCTGTTCTGGCAGCAAGCAGTGTGGCCTTCGAGCCCCAGCCGGTGAACCCAGTGAAACGGTAGCTCTCAAGGAAACCGAGAGTGCCCAGCACCCCTCCCCGCCACTCTCAGGGAAACCCTGGCCGGAGCGAGCCGGTGAGGCGCCGTGGGCTACGCGCAGGGGCGGGATGGAGGCTGTCAGCGCCTGGGCCCCTGGGGCCACAGTAACCCCACCTCGGCCTGAGGAGAGACCCCCTGTTAGGGAACAGGACACCGAGCTCCGGGTTAAAATTGGGTAAGACAGGCTTTGAGGAGAGATCTGAAGGAGGTTAGGGAGTAAGCCTTGGCTCTATCTGGGAGAAAACATTCCATGGAGAGAAAACAGCACCGGCAAAGGTCCTAGCCTTGTGGGCCGAAGGAAGGGCTTGGATTTTATGGCCAGGGCTGCCTGCCTGCCCCATCTTCAATCCTTGGGCCAGGGCTGGAAAGGACATGAGAGGGCATCTCACCCATGCTTTCCTAAAGTGTGCTCTGTGGACCACCACCCCATGAAATGAGAAAAGGGGCCAGAGCCCACTGCCCACCCTTGGAAGAGGCTCACAATGGACAATGGCTTAGTCAAGGCTCTGAAAAATCCTACAGTAAAAGGAATCCATCTAACTTTATTGCAGCACTTCCAGATGTTTCACCACCAACCTCCATCCTCTTTGCTGTAAAAGCTAGTCACGTTTGGCGGAACCTGTGGACTTTGTGAGACACCCATCTATCCACTCTTTTCTTTTTCTCCTCTAGAAAAAAAAGAAAAGACATCCATTCTTTTTTTTTTTTTTTTTTGAGACAGAGTCTCACTGTGTTGCCCAGGCTAGAGTGCCATGACGTCCGGCTAGCTCACAGCAACCTCAAACTCCTGGGCTCAAGCGATCCTCCTGCCTCAGCCTCCTGAGTAGCTGGGACTATAGGCGTGCGCCACCATGCCCGGCTAATTTTTTCTATATATTTTTAGTTGTCCAGCTAATTTCCTTCTATTTTTGGTAGAGACAGGGTCTCGCTCTTGCTCAGACTGGTCTCGAAATCCTGACCTCAAACTATCCACCCGCCTCGGCCTCCCAGATTGTTAGGATTACAGGCGTGAGCCACCATGCCCGGCCGATATCCATTTTTTAAAGCATTAATATCAAATCAAGTCCAGAGACCTGGACTGACTTCTCCAAGTTCCCCAGGGTCCCACTGTAAGCTCGTGGCTGAGATGGGTCTGGGCCCTGTTCTCTGACCCCTAGCCAAGCCACTGTCCTGGAAGCTTCCTGCGTTCTGTAGTCTGAGGGGCCAGTCTGGGCATCTCTGAGGCCAGAGGGCGAGTTCCTGCACACTTCTACAGGGAAGACAGCCTCCCCTCATGCTGTGTGTTTGTTCAGTCATCTTTAGGTAAAGACTATGATTTAAATTTACCCATACATTGCCTTCACTCCGTGGGTGCTAACAATGTATGGGTGTTGTCTG